ACTTCACTGCCGGACGCCGCAGCTGTCTCACTAGTGAGAAAAGCACAGGTGATCCGCACGTTTCGACGCGGGAAAACAATTCCACCTGCAGAGGAGGAAGAGCGGGCTAGACAAGCCTCATCTGGACTGCGGGGGAGTGCAAGCCCAGGTGGGGAGCCAGAAGCTAGGTCACCCCGGCCGCCCGGGGCGTCCGAGCTGAGAGGCGGACGCCTGGAAGACCCGGTGCGCGGCAGCCCGGCACGAGTATTCCCGAGGCCCGCCAACCTCCACCGGACAGGACACAGCCGCCGAGGGGGAGGGAGACCAAGCGGAACCACTCTCGGCCCGGACCGCCTGAGTCCTGGCGCCAGGACGCGCCCTCCGGGACAACCCGGCCGACCCCACGGGAAACGACGGGCTGCCGGGACCACCCCTCAGCGAGACCGAAGTGGAATGTGGGAAAGCTGGGGGTCCCGGGGCGCTAAGGCCCGCGCGGACCGGAGGCCACCGCGGCCCCGCAGCTGTCTCCTTACCTCATGGGATCCCCCGGGCTCCGCGCTCGGCACTACCCAGGAGAAGCTGGGCAGCCGCCACCACAGTTGCCAGGGTTGCCGGGGGGCCGGAAGGGGGAGGCCACAGGAAAGGGGAGGGGGCGGGGCGGAGAGAGTAAAGAGTTCCTGGGAAGCCGGAAACCGCGACCTTCCGCGCTTTACGGCCCCCGAGCAGGCGTACGCCGGCTTGTTGTCTCATTCGCGCAAGCGCGCTGTGTCATCCGCGTTGCAGCCCCACCCCTGCACGTGAGGCATATTCGTGTCTCGCTGTGTCCCTCGCCGCCGCCAAGGTGAAGTTATTTGGAGTCCTGGCCTTTCAAGGCCTCTTTAGAACTCTGGCCTCGGAGTTGGCTAATTTCTGCAAGTACAGGCGGGTCTTCCGCAGTGGGCTGCAACCCCGCTGAAATGTGAGGAGCTCTGATGTTATCGCTACCCATGGTTCCAGGGCTGGTCCTTTGTCGGTCTGCAGCGCAATCCCACTCTAGTTCAGAGCGTTAAAAGGCTACTTGGTGGAAACGGATGCCTCAGTTTGTTGGAGCAGGTGCTCTTAACAACAGGGTTGCCAGTTCGATTCCCACATGGGATGGTGGGCTGCGCCCCACCCCCTTCCCCACAACTAGATTGAAAACGGGGACTGGACTTGGAGTTGAGCTGTACCCTCCGCAACTAAGACTGAAGGACAACAACTTGCCTTGCAGCTCATGGGTCCTGGGAAAAACACACTGTTCCCCAATAAAATTTTTTTAAAAAGGCTTCTTAGTCTGACAGTCAATTTGTATTTTGAAAGTCATTGGGGGTCTTCCTGTACCAGGCTTTAGCAGAGCGGAGTGGAAATCTGGTCTGCTGTCCTGGCTTGACCTGACAGGCAGGATTAAAGGACCTGATTTCCAGACCAGATCTTACTCTGCACCTTTATAGCTTTTCTGGACCAAGGGAAGAGCAATCATTTACTCCATCATCTAAGAAGTCCACCATCACCCCTCCCTTACTATCACATCACCCTGTTTCTTTTCCTTTATAGAGCTCACTATGTGAAGTACGTGTTTGTTGACTGCCTTCCCCACTGGTTGCAAGCCCTGCCTTCTCACAACAGAACCTTAATCTAATGTAGGGCTGTATTCTCAGCACCTAGGACACAGTTTGGCACATTGTCCAGTAAATCTTTCTTTGAATCGATACCAGTCTAATGGCACAGCCATCACTGCGTGTTGGCCCACACTCTCCAGTTCCCATTCTTTGGATTGAAGCCCACCTCTCCCCATAAGCCAATCTCATTTTATTGATGGCCTCTTGTGGTGAGGCTCTCTGCTGGGTGATGAGATTCAGGAGTGCAAAAGAATGGCTTTCTGCCTTTAGGGAGTGGCAATAAAATGCCAGGGACCCCTGTGTCACTATGCCAGGGCACAACCTGCATACTTTATACACCATGTACTCACCAATTAACTACAAGGCAGCCAGTATGAGGTCTGGGTGCCTGAAAACAAAAACTCTGCCCCCTGCTACTCTGCTTCATGAAAGTTCAAGCCATTTTGAGCTTCCGTCCTAGATAAATACTTCAATATTTTAGCTAAAGGCTTAAAGCCTGGGGTCACCTACCTACCCAACAAACAAGAGGGAATAGACAAATGTATTGGAGGTATATTCTTGGGGAAACCTTTCCTGATGCCCAGATGTGGAAATTTCAGGAGAAAACTTCACAACATTTTTTGATGAGCCATCTGACTCATACTTACTAGGCATATGAATTTGGGAGAAACTTAGTTGTCTGTATGAAATGGTGGATGAAATAAAGTGATAGTTAATATGTTAATTACATTCTGTTTACACGCAGTAAGTAGTGAACAATCTATATAGATTCCTGCCTGCTTCCTCACTCGTCACCATTTTTGTTTTTAGATTTTATTGGGGAATTCGGGAAGGGGAACAGCCAAGTTGTCCTTCAATCCTAGCTGTGGAGGGCGCAGCTAGCTCAGCTCCAAGTCCAGTCACCATCTGGCCGCCCATCAGCAGCTCGCAGCCACTCAGCTCAAGTTGCCATATTCAGTCTTAGTTGCAGGTGAACATAGCCCATCATCCCATGCGGGAGTCGAACCGGCAACTTTGTTGTTAAGAGCACATGCTCTCATTAGCTGAGCCATCCTGCCTTCTGTTGGCAGCTCAGCAGCAGCTCAGCTTGAGCACAGCTTACTGGCCCATGTGGGAATCGAACCGGCAACCCTGTTGCTCAGACCTCGCACTCTTAACCAACTGAGGCATTCAGCCGGCTCTCGTCACTATTTTTGGCCTCCACTTTAAAATGCTAAGTCCTAAAGCTTCTTTCATTGTCAATGTTGTATTTTGTATGTTTTCATAATGACCAATGCACTATTTTAAGAGGACTTAGTATGTTTATGCATTTAACTGTTCTTTTTTCATAAAATGTCAGTTATTCCCTGTGAGATTCTAGACTTCTCAGAGCAGAGCATCCTTTGAAGAATTACACATTTCTTGGCCCATTTTTCTCATGATACTTAGATGCAGCTATTTTTATCCTTTGCAAGTCTTCTGCCATCTCCTTTTCCTGTTTCTCAAGGACAGAAATTACAAGAGGTGAGGAGGATATTTTTAGCATCTGTTTCAAAAGATGTAAGCCAGGAATTCCCTTGCACACTGGAGCTCGGAGTACCTCTTTTCTCCACGCCAGGTTCTTGTGCCTTACACTCCAGAATGTCACATGGTGGGTGGAGAGAGGAAGGACGAAAAAGAAAGTAACTCCATTTCAGTGTGAGGGTTCCATCACCCCGCATAGCCTCTCCTTCCCCAGGACAGATGGGTGTGAGGTAGAAAGCTCCCGCAGCTCGTTTCAGTGAAGGGCTTTCTAGCAGCACAGTTCACACTTTACTCTCTGGTCAACTCTTGGGATATATCACAGAGCCACTGTAATTACCACTGTAATTATTGTAAAGTGCTGTATAGCTCATTATTTGCATTTGTAAATGTGCAGTTCTGTTCGGCCCCTTTCTTTTTCTGTGTCGAGTTAGTATGTGGTCCTGAAAATGTTCAAGCACTTGAGTAAATGGGATCTTTTCTCAAGAGCCCTGGTGGCTTTAGGCACACAGGGTGACTGAGCGTTTCTGTCCTCTGTGAACACGGTATTAATGTTGTGCACTGTGTTTCTATCAAGGCAGATTTCAATTAAGATTTTCTGTTCATGTTACTAGGTTTGTCAATGAATAAACAGACATTTTAATTACTCTTGCTGGGACTGCTTGTGAAATATTCTTTTTTTTTTTTTAATTGGGGAATTGGGGGAGGGGAACAGCGTTGAGGAATTGGGGAAGGGGAACAGACAAGTTGTTGTCCTTTTGTTCTTCAGTTTGCAGCAGGAGCTGCAGCCTACGCCGTCACCAGTGACTCACGGCAGCCCAGCTCCAGGTCAAGCTGTTGTTCACCATCTTAGCTGCAGAGGGCAGTGTCACTGGCCCTCATGTGGGATCCAAACCGGGACCCTGCTGCTCAGAGCTGGCATCGCAAACCAGCTCTTAACCAACGCGCCACTCAGCTGGCCCCAAAATATTCTTAATCTGTATAACTCAGTATATGTATTTGCCATCACAAAATATAAACATGATACATAAACCTGTGCACTGCTGTGTTACCAAGTGTAAAACAGAATTTGGAAACTGAGGTCGAGTACATAGAGGCATTATGCAGGGGTGGCCTTGTTGGAGAGAAAAGCCTCCATTCCTCCTTCTGAAGTTATTATCACTGTCACTGGGTTTGACATCCTGAGATGCCAGAGGAAGTGCCTTGCATGTCTTACATCTCAAACCTTTGGAATGTTAAAACAGGGCAAAACAACCTTTGGACTGGGCCTGAAGCAACCTTTTCCCCAAAGAACTTGTTTGCAAAGATAAGAAAGCAATTGTTATGACTACTGGACTGATAACTATTGGAAAATTTCAAACATTGTTTAGAGTTAACATGACTATGTTATGTTATCTGCACCAACAGAAACGTCTTCCTTCTATTGATGTAGTTGTTCCCCTTCCCCTTCTCATAAATACCCATTGTTTTTGTCTCCTAATCGGAACACGTTTTGAGGTTCTGCCTGGATCAGTGCGTCCCAAATTCTTATTCTTATTGATATCAAATAAGTGCTTGTTGCCTCTCCCTCGAAAAGCCTTTTCATTTTTAGGTTATCAAATGAATTGGGAAGAATGGAGAGCAAAACCTCTGTTTGCTCATCTGTGAAATAAGGCTAAGGCTGTAGTGGCTTCAGTGATCAGAAGTGTTTCATTTATTGCCTTTGATCCTAGTAACTAACCAATAGGTGGCACTGTGGCACAAGAATTGAGGTTGCCTGGGTGCACAGGGGCCCCTCATTAGGAGCGCACTATGAAAGGATTAATGAGAAACTTAAATCAGACTAATAAAATTTCCCCCTGAGAGGTGATAACCCAACGTGACCCCTGTGGCACAGGACGGACTGAGAAGAGGCTCCTTTGGTGCAACCTTGAAAAAAGGGGTGTGCCCTTACCCTCCTGCTACGGTACCAAGTGTAAAGGATCTGTGGAGTTAGGGGCCCTCAGACACTTGGATCTGGGGCATCATTGGACTCAAGCCCCACAGACTCTGAGACGAAAGGGTTTGTCACAGTTGGCCTAGAGCATGACTTTGGAACTGACCCAGCCCTGGTCTGAATGCCAGCATTCAAGTGTTCACATATTCTCTGACTTGCAAGGTTAAGGTTTAGCTCTCACATCACACACACCCTCAATTCCCCCACTTGCCACCCATTTTTTTAACTTGGTTTTTATTTTCCTTTTTGGATTACATCATTATTATTTACATTGTTTAAGTTTATAAAAATTGTTCTTAGTTGAGCCTGTCATGCACTATAATCACATTTCTTTGTTCCTATTTTATTTTTAAAGATTTCCAATACACTGCCAAGTTACAAGAATTTTGCAGTGAACACCCAAACACCTAATGCTAGATTCTACTGTTTTACTGAACATCCTTTATCACATCTTTATTTATCTATTCATCCTTATATCCATTCATTAATCTATTTTGATTTTGGTACATTTCAGAGTACATTGTAGATATCAGTACACTTCATCGTAAATACTTATAATAGTTTTGGTTTTGGTATCGGTGTACTGCTGG